TTTTTTTTTTTTTTTTTTTTTTTTGTAGTTCTAACTATGGATCGAGTTGTCTTAAACACTAATGTGGATTATCAATGGCTTGCACTAGAGATGAGGGCACAAGTTGAAGCAGTAGCTATCTTGCTAGTAGAAATTGACGATGATGAACTTGAACGATTTCAAGCAGTCATTGAAAGGATAAAATTAAAGAAGACTCTAATAGAACAATTAAATATCATGTCAATGGTGTGGATTAGACCATTTTAGTTCTGATTGCTATTATAAACGATTTAACAAGTGTGTTGATTTTTCTTGTGATTCTTATATCCAGCAGTATAATTCTTATCCTAGTACATGTAACTTTGATTGGATAAATTATCCAAATTCCTCATGGAATAATGAAGATATATTGTAGCCACAATCAAGGTTTCAAGCTCAAGAAGAGGAGGCATGTTTGGATAGACATTTGGAGGTCCAATCAAGTCATTTGCTCAATTTAGTTGCTGAAAAAATACAAGGTAAGTTACCTAGTGCAACAATGAAAAATCAAGAAGAAGAGGTAAACACCTTACACCTGGAGATTGAAGGACAACTTGGAGAAGTAGAAATTATGCCTGCAAAAACTAAACAAGAGGATGTCCCTAAGGAGGAAGAGGAAAAAGCTCAAGTGGCATTTGAAGTATCCAATAAGGAATTTCCATTAACTAAATATAATTTTAATGATTATTTTGTTGTTGATATAGTTGATGAGATTTTGCAGAAAAACACTTATGAGGATCCATTTGAGATTTACCTTATTCAAGCAAAGGACCCAATCAAAGAATACATAAATTGCTTGAACGCATCATCTTCCTTGGAATCAAAGGGGGCACTCCTAGAAGAATTGGGAAGGCACATCTACTGGCCTAAACCCAAACCACCTCAAAATAGTCATTGGAGAAAATCTTATAGTGGATTCAACTTAAGGGCAAGAAAGCCAAGATTTAAGAAAACAAGAGGACATGCCCTACAACCTGATCCGAAACAACCTTAGAGTGGTAGAAAGTCTAGCTAATGACTATAAATTAAGCACTTCTTGGGAGGCAACCCAAGCATAAAATTTTCTTTATTTTTATTTCTTTGTCTTTATTTTAATAGTTTAGATTTTTTCTTTTTTCTTTTTTCTTTTTTCTCTTTATGGCCTAGGTTAATGCATAAATTGTTGTTCTTTGATTTTGGCCAGGTCATTGAACAAGTTTGGGAGACAAGACTATGGAAATTCACATGCTAGAAGTCTCCTCTAAATGAAGACAACTCAACTTCAAAACTTCAATTTTAAGTCTTCAAATGCAAAACCTGGGAAGTTTCTCTCTTTTTTTACCTTTATTTTACATTGAGGACAATGTTTGATTTAAGTTTGGGGGAGAGAATAATTTTTAGGCATCCATTATTATGTTAGTTTGCATTCATATTTGCATAACATACATCTTTTTTTCTTTTTTAGAAAGTAGGGTTTTTTGTTCAGGAGTTGGTCCAATTAGTGTCAAGGAATTAAATATTCTGGAGTTGGTGATTCAAAAACTTCTATATCTTTAATTCTTAAAGGAGACACAAAATCTGAAAAATAGCACCATTGTGATGAAGTTTAAGTTCATGAGTATTTTATTCTACTTGAGCACAAGTTTGTAGTGAGAAGTTTAGAGAGAAGACTTTATAGCACCTAAATAGCACATAAAAAAAGAAGAAGAAGGAAAAGAAGAAAAAAAGCCAATACAAATGAGTTTATTAATTTCTACTCTAATGTTTTTAGTTGCTTAGTAACTGGGGGTTAGGCATGAGACCCATGTCAACTTTCATGTCAAACGACAACTTGAAATATGAGTATGCAAAGCACTTTGAGTTTATGACTTGTTGAGTAATCGGGTGCTTTCATCACAAATGTTAGTATTCGCGTCAAAAGACAAGTGATAACTTAGGGAAGAATATGTTGTTTGGTTGGAAAAAAAAAAAAAAGAATTCGAATGTTTCGTGGCCTTTGTTACTTGAGTAAGTATATTCTTAGGGGTGTCTCTTCACCTAATGCCTTAAAGCCAACTGGTTTAGGAGTCATCGACAAAAAGCTCATTACATTGGTAACTTAGAAAGTCCAAGGAAATTCGACATATAAAAACAAAAAAAAAAAAAAAAGAGGGAGAAAATAATAATAATAATAGTAAGCACTAAGGTGTGAAAGTCTAAACTTGAGACTTCTTACTATGAATTTCCACACACACACACTAAGTGCTCATGAGCTAAATCTTTTAACAAGTGATGTGAAGAATAGGATGAGTATTTGACTTTAAGTGAGTATATGAAAACCCTTGAATATTTGAGACTTTGTATCTAATTGAACTTTAATTCCTAAATTTTCTTTGCATGCATATCATGTAGTTGCATTCTTGCATTGGGATTTTGTGGGTAGATCCGTTGAAAACCTTCACGAGACACAACTCGTCCACTAGCGTGACCTAGGTGTCTAAAGGCTTGTTGCACATGCTAAGTGCAATCGTGATTCTTACAAAAGTGAGTTAGGCTTTATTTTTGTTTCTTTTGTCTTTTTATTTTACTCGAGGATGAGCAAAACTTAAGTTTGGAGGAATTTGATGAGTTCAATTTGTATACATATTAATGTGGAATTGTTGCCTTGATATTATTAATATTTGGATGAGTTTTATGAGATTTTACTGAGTTTTATGAGATTTTATATGATTTTCATTTTATGTGCAAAAAAGGACTTGAATGCATAAAAGAAGAGTTTTTGGGATTAATTGAACATCTTTTGAAAGTTGAGGGACTGAATTGCAAGAAGTAGGGCGCTTCTTTGGGACCTTAATGAATGAATCTTGAGTTTTGAGATCTAAGTACTCATTGTACAAAAGCTGGAGGACAAATCTGTCATTTTACCATTGAAGAAATTGCAAAAAGAGGTTGAAAATTGACACGAGTGTAGTGTCGACATCGGGGTGTCGACACCATGCATTAATTGTCTAGAATCAAACTTTCTATTTCCTATTTTGTATTGACACGTAA